AAAATAGAGGTCGCGAGATTTGCTAGACGAATCGATATTTGGTCATTTAGTTCCTGCCATATCATGAAATGTATCTATATCATGCAGAAGCACAGGAGTTACTATCTTCATTCCTCAAGTAAGTTTCAATTATTTTTTTTATACTATAAGGACAGTATAATAACTTAATATTTAGCAATTATCTATATCTTAGCAATTATCTATATATTAATAATTTGCATATTTTTCAATTAAATTTTATCCGGATACTCTTAAAAAGTTTATAACAAATTATAAAATATTTTTTTCCAATTACATTACAAAGGATGTGCGCACACACACACACGCGCGCGCGCGCGCGCGCGCGCACATAGAACCTTAACCTTATCACATTCATATCGTTGGTCCTGGATTACATTAACACCCATTTCCACCAATATAGATTAACTTTAATCTCGGTTCAACTTCTAATGTTTTTCTAATCTTTAAAACTAAAAAAAAACGAAGAGTAAGTTGAATTGAGATTAAAGTTAATCTACATAGACGGAAACGGGCATAAGAGTATGGAATTACACTATATATTCTACTAACAAAATATCGTTTTATACATGTGTACATATCTTGAACATTATATATAATAGTATGTAATTATATATGAGATATAATTATATATGGCACTATAATCATATAAGGAACATAAAATGTTCCGAGACGGCAAAATATCTGGAAAACTATAAGTTTTATAAAAAAATGTTTTAAATAAAAGTTGTAAAAAGCCACTGGGTTCATCAGTTTGACGCCAAAGTAGGACAAAATTAACTCGAATTTTTTAAGCAAGACCTCTCACTGTTTCTTTCATTTTCTTATAATCCTTGTTAAGATCTTTTCAAAACATTATAATTTTATCCATTTTAGATCAGCCGTTTAGAAATTATTGAGTATTATATGGTGAGATGCGACTGTAAGTGAATCAAACACAAAAACTGTTCATTTTTTTGCTCTAAAACTTATATGTTTTGTTTAGCAAGTCATAAGCTATAATATATGATAAAATCATTTGATTTTACTGGGTCCCAATTTTACAGGATTAATACGGGATCCTTTAAGAAAATTTTGTAGTCACATAAATTCTATGTTTAATGATTTTTTTACGTAGATATTTTAAATATTATAAGATTTTTAAATTCAAAATATCACTTTCTTCCCGGATTCCATTTTATAAGATTGATTTTTTTTGCGAGGAAATAAGGAATAGAGTTATTTGATGAAATATTAATTTGTGATTGATTCAATCAAATCATATGATTTATTTTAAAAGACGAAGAAAATGACTTATAGTTACACAAAAATTTATCTTCACAGGTAAAATATAACATACAAGTTAAATGAAAAAGATTGGATCTGTGATAAAATTTGGATTTTGCAAGAAAATTTAGCGAAGAACATGGAAATTTTAGGCATAAAATTTGCACCATTAAATGTATCCCTAGAAAAAAAGGCTGCAAACGTTATGGATAACTATCTTCATTTCTGATACTTTCGGTGCATGTTTAATTACAGTCTATTTTCTACTCTATATGGAATATGCTGCGTCATGTTATATTTCCTTTGGACGTATGATTAGGACGCTTGCTATCGGGGCGATAGAAGGTATAGCAATGTTATTAATTTTTATTAAAGTAATTATTCTAGATAAATAATAATTTTGATAATCACTTAAAGACAATTCCTACACTTAGATTCAGCAAAAAAACTATAGGCAAGAATTAATCATATTAAAACATCATTGAGCACTTATCAGTTTTTGGTTATTAAATATAGTCAATTATCTATTCCATGCAACCCAATAAATGAATAAAAAGTCTGTTATACATATTACATATACATGATATAAGTAAATCATTCTATTGTAATAACATTGCAATATTCCAGCAATGCTACAATAACATTATATGAATGTTGAAGCAAACTTTTGTATTGTACAGAAATATTCATTAAATCTTATACTAGAAAATAATTTTAATCGTGATAAAAAACTCTTTAAGAGATAATAATCATTAATTGTATTATTAATAATAATCATTAATGTTTAAAAAAATGTATTTTATTTTTCAGTGAATTTTGGGCAATATGGGCAAGAAATAATGCATTTTAGCATTATTTTTGCAATTATTTTCCGTTAAAATTAGTGAAAACGATGATATATCTAGATCCCAAAAAATCTTATTTTTTCATTGACGCAAGTCACAGCATTTTCTCGGCGGAGATATTCATTCACAACGGACGTATTAAAATACAAGGAAATATTTCTTGGATTAAAAATACATTTAGTCCTTCTTGATCAACATCTCAAAACACCTTTTCCAGAGAATATATTTATTCCATAAGTAAAAATTATTAGAATATTCTCTG